GACAGAGGTCGGTAGTGTTACTCCTGTCGACCCTTAAGTTTATCTTCAGATGCTGTACGACTGACGTTTTATTGGCTACGGAGTAGGAGGACATGAGGTAATGAGATTCATGCAGTAAAGGCCTTCACATAATACAAAAAAAGTGTGCAAATTAGGAATTTGCACATTACTTTTTATTGCGCTCACAAAGCTTCTCTATGAGGAAGCTTGTATTTTATTTAATGCATAATTATTAAGGCTCCTGGATGGTTTCCGCGGCCATATTGAATTCTTACTATCGAGGAGAGGAAAACACCCAATTTTGTCGTGCATGCCATTTTCAAATAAAAAGACATTTCAATAAAACATCACTATAGATCGTTTCAGAACACTTCCGAAATTGACCGAAAACTATCCTTTTCCCTCGACAATAAACAAACAGCCATAAAACGAAGTCTAAACATACGGGAAAACAGCCGTTTAACGACTATCGAAAGGAGGTGAAAACGTTCCTTCCGCATGCAAATCTTACTTTTCGGTCAATTCTACGATTCTCACGAATACGTTAAACGTTAGAGCACAAGTACAGAGCGAATAATAAAGAAATAGCATGCACGACAAAATAGGTTGTCAACATGTCACAAAGGACAGAATTCTCCATTGGAGAGAGTTCTTATTTCTGCCGCGACGGTACGTCGCCACCGTCAACGCAGAGTTCTCGGCTTAGGGACCAGGAGCCTTAATATTTATTAATTTGGCTTCCTCATAGAAGAAGGTCTTTATGAGCACAATAAAAAGCAATGTACAAATTTCTAATTTGTATACTTTTATTTTTAATTTTCACATAAATTTTACGGACTCCGGGACTCCATCCTCTTCTGGGTCAAATATTACACTATTCTAGGTCAGATTAGGGTATCGCTTTTTAATGTATTTTTCGTTCAAATAATGTTAGATTGTCACAAGTCATTTCACTCATTTTTCAAAAAATTCAAAATTTTTATCCCGTATAAAGTTAGGTCTAATCAACCAAATCTTAAAGAATTATATATGAAATAGAGGTAGAAAAGACAAAAGAATAGGGGAGACCGGGGCTATCTGTCTACGGGAGCTATGTGTCCACAGTACTGCTTATCTGAGGTTTTAAGAGACAGACGTCTCCACCATTGTAACAAATAGTTTAAAAATGCTCTACGTAAGAGATTTGAACGTTGTTTGTTTTCTTGCGATGCTTTTCGCAGACGCTATATACATTAAAAGAAAAGCGAAAACAATTATTCACATTTTTTTATGGTCAAAAAATTTGCTGTGCGACAATAGTTTGACTCAAATTAAAGTAAACAATTCATAATATTATCAATTAATATATTGTTATCAGGTGTGAGAAGCGTCAAATCTTAATTCCGCATAATCTAAAATTAGCAACATGTTAAAGACTGAAAAACGTGGTCGGGGCTATCTATCCAATTTTTGATGGGGCAATGTGTCCACACTTCAATGACGGATTGTTCTTTTATAAATAGATAATGGTGCGTAACTACAAAAAAAAGACTTTACTTAAGACGGATAAGGTAGACATATCAAGACTCCTAGAGATATCATTGCCACCTTTGACTAGAGAGGATACGGCCTTAGAGGCGTTCAGGCATAATCCCACGGATGGTAGCTTCGCACCACCGGCACCGGCCGCTCGACCGAATGCGTGAACCAAATGTCCGAACCTGCGGTTCCTCTCGTACTGAGCAGGATTACTATCGCAATGACTGGTCATCAGTAGGGTAAAACTAACCTGTCTCACGACGGTTTAATAAAATTATACCTATAGAGAATAAAAGGATAAAAATCGAACGAGAATCTTTTCGCAAAAACAGCGTTAGACTTTGGAATAAATGTTCAGGCTCTCACTCGTTACTGTAAAAGTGACCTACGAGCAGCTACTTGATCCTGCGATTCAAGAATCGTCACCAAATTTTTATTTTAAAAATACGCGTCAAGTTAAATATATGAATTTGTCTTAAATTATTGAATATTTTCTATTTCAAACAGTGCCGAGGATAAAGTAAAGGCCCCAAATACAAAAAAAGATTAAAGAATTGAGGGGACAAAAGAAACTCATCACATTAATTTTGCAACGGACTCAAAATCAGTTTGATGCCACCGTATATAAAGAAAAGTCACGCAGAAATCCTGTCAAAAAATCTACACAAAGTGCCTACTACTGCTCTGACTCCACTAGGGAATTTTTTCAATATTATATATTAATAATAAATAATATTATAAATAAGTATAAAAATTAATATAAATAATGATTTTATTATGTGGCCAAATAGTCCCTCGAATGTAGACAGATAGCCCCGCATATGGGGCCATCTGTCTAAGCTTGACTTGCCCACTTAAAAAATTCGCCTCTTTAAAATGGTAAAAGATTAACAATTCTAATTATGTTTTTTTTTTTAATAGCAAGGTTGAAAGGTTACGCCATTAAAATTTTAGCTAAATATTTTTATTAATTTTTTAGTAAACTTCAAAAAAGCGTAAAGTGTGGACACCTTATATAGCTCCGGTCTCCCCTATAATAGGCCGGTATTCATAATATCATAATCAAATCTTATTTCAAGACCGTCTTAAGTAATATCTTGATGCTAATACGGCTCTGTGATTGGTTAATGACATCTTAAGATTGTACTTAAGATGGTCTTAAATATAAGAACTGACTATGAATACCGGCCATAGAATTATAATAGCTCAATATCTCAAAATTGGCGGAATCTAGAGCAACCACATTTCTCAAAAAAATTCAAAATTTTATAAAGAAAGGACCCCTTTACCAATTATCACCAAATTCAATACCAACCTTTCTTTAATAATACTCTATCGATTAAAAAAAAATCAGCCCGATATCTCAAAATTTGCGGAAGTTAGAACAACCATACTATGTACATACACGCACACACACACGCACGCAGGCATGCACGCAGACATTTTTTAAAAAGTGTATTTCTCGACGTTTTAGAACATTCTGAACACATTGGCATAGAAAACTAAAAAAACATTTTTTTCTTCGGCCTTTTCTACCTCTCGTTCATATATAATTCTTTAAAATTTGGTTGATTAGGCCTAGGTTTATACACACAATCAAAGATACATATACGAGATTTACGAAAACAAAGCTCCTCTATGAGGAAGCAAAAATACAGGCAATAGGAATAAGGAATAGAAATCAGAAATCAGAATGTATAAGTGCAAAATAAACAGTGACACAGGCAATAGACATAGAGTTTCCGTCACGTTGGAAATTCTATTGCCTGTTGCCAACCAATCACTCTCATTACTCTGTACCCTGGGTAATGGGAACCAAAGCTACTTTTTTTCAAATTATAACACTTATATTTGATGATTTCTTACAGTTTTTATGAATACTGTCAAGAAGCTATTAGTTGGAGCTTAATTAGGATTAGGTTGAAGAATAATTAGTTGTAGCTTAAGATTCGCTTAAGTTGAAATAAATATGTAATATTTTTAATATTTTTTTTACTTTATCCTTAAGTGGCTTCCATTTGACTCTTTTCCCCTATAATACAGAGCCGTATTAGGATCTTAAGGGTCCTGGATGGTCACCGCGGCCATATTGGATTCTTACTATCGAGGCGAGGAAAACACCCAATTTTGTTGTGCATGCCATTTTCAAATAAAAAGACATTTCAATAAAACATCACTATAGATCGTTTCAGAACACTTCCGAAATTGACCGAAAACTACCCTTTTTCCTCGACAATAAACAAACAGCCATAAAACGAAGCCTAAATATACGGGAAAAACAGCCGTTTAACGACTATCGAAATGAGGTGAAAATGTTCTTTCCGCATGCAAATCTTACTTTTCGGTCAATTTTACGACTTTCACGAATACGTTAAACGTTAGAGCACAAGCACAGAGCAAATAATAAAGAAATAGCATGCACAACAAAATAGGTTGTCAACATGTCACAAAGGACAGAATTCTCCATTGTCGTCGCCACCGTCAACGCAGAGTTCTCGGCTCAGGGACCAGGAGCCTTAAGACATTACTTAAGACGGTCTTGAAATAAATAAGGACTATAAATACGGGCCAATGAGTGGCTCTAATCCAGTGGCTAAGGGGGCCATGTCATTTCGGGAAGATTTCCGAGTTTCCACCGTCTTCCCACATATCTTCGATACAACTTGGAAGCATGTTTGAAGCAATGTCATAATCATTTATTCACTTAATTAATCTTAACTCTTTGCATTTACTCCCGATGCGTTCAAACTTTTACCTAGGGCTGTACATATATTTTTATATTTTCAAGTTTGTGAAAAAGAGCGCGCCTTTAATTACTTATATTAATTCTAAATATATAGCGATACATGGATCATTGTTCCTTGGAAAAACTGCTGAAACCTCTCTTCACAGACTCGAAACATCCTACATTGCGTTACCTTGTATCTTACGTTGGCGCAGACGGTGTATCAGAAAAAATAATAGACTCAGTGAAAATATTGCTGTCACGAAACTGGCAACCGATCGTAGACCTATATCGTAATTTGCGTTTCCATCTATCACATTAGTCCCTGCTTCGTCAGCCTTGTCGTTCGATATCGATGACAATGTGTCGTCCAGGCAAATAAATTCGCAACAGGTATTGCCTCGCCGAAAAGACTTACAATTCTCCTATTATACAAAAAGCAAATTTGTGATGTAAATCTTCAAGTTACTGTTTCTTACTTTGTCAAGCGACGCCATTGATTGTTCAACTCCGGCTCTAACAATAAATGCTGATTGCAGGCTTTAAGGCAATAGAATTTACTCGATTACTAGACTGTTGACGCTACATACCTCGAGAAATTTGCAAATAAATGCTTTGCACCATTTTGGATTGCCATTGTCACAAATGCAGAAGGTACACGGTTCAGGTCCAGGAATATAATGATAGCCGCTCTCATAAGAGTGCCCATGTTGGTCCTTGCAAGCAACTCCGCCTTCTGCGTGTACTATAAATATTAACGCGTACTTGTTATCAAGAGAGAAAAGGAGAAAGATAAAACGCGTAAGAAAGAAAAGTTAACATATAAATTTCCCATATAACAAACAATTATTTACTTATTAATTATTTCGTACATATTTTTTCTATTTCCGCTATCAAGACTCTCCTTTCTTCCAGAAAGACTTCGCTACCCAGTAAGCAAAATAATAGCAGTATGTCGGCAGATTGGTAAGAAATTTGATCAGACATGTCAGCAGACTGACATCAACTGCATCTGCATTCAGCTTATATTCTGCCAGAGTCTGCTAATATAATCATTCACCAGATTGGCAGCAGAAATCGCACAAGTAGAACTTACTGACAGGCAATTTGAGCTGATTGGGAATAGAAACCGAGCAGAGCCTAAACCGAGGCCTAAACGGTTCCAGCAGGATCTGCTCAATTTCTGCTGCCAATCTGCTGTCTGATTATGGGTTTGTTCTTTGTAACCGAACTGGCTGCACTAGTTCAGAGTTTATCTTTTTCCTTTCAATGTGGAGTAAAAAAGATAAACTCTGAACCAGTACATCAGTCAGTTCAGCTGTTATACTTCTGTTGGGCGTACTGCGACATCATGTGATATATCAGAACCAGCATCAAATCTATAGTCCTTCTGCCGACAAAATTTGTAGCAGATACTTGGCAAGATCTGCTTTCGACAGACTTGATTGTTTGAGTAATTGTATCAAATCAAATTGAGAGGGATGTGAGATACAATTTAATACACAAATTGCCAATTTTATTCCGATTTATGACATAAAACTCGATCTCGCCTTGCTGTCTCGTTCAACTCAAAGTCTACGCGACTCGACCTGAATTCAATTCGACTTAATTCCCGGAGTAATGCTGCCCTCTCCACCGGTGCTGAGAAGACATACATATATTATACCGCGGACGCATACACGCACTCCTGCGAGTTCGCACGTGTAGTTTGCGCGCGCGCGGATGAACACTTTTGCGCGTGTGCACTTTTATGCACAAGACGTTATATAGAACCTGCCCCATTTTTCCTGACAGCTCTCGAGCGTTCGACTTTCAAGCGCGAGACACGCATTGCACAATACGCGGCCGGTGGTGGCAGCGGCGGTGGCGGCGGCGGCAGCTTCCTCCGGTACGGTAATCGATGGCGCTATAAAAATAAAAGGCGCGACGAGACGCGGAAACCGAGGACGCGCGCGTGCCGTACCCCGTACCGCCTATAAAATGTAGTAAATGAACTCACCCTTGAGACGAGTGAGGGTGAATGTGAGGACCGCGTAACCGAATAGGTTACCGCTGCTGCTGCTGCGCCTCATTCTGCATCTGTTATCTCGTCATAGCGTCCGGCGTGTTTCCGGGGACCGGGGACGCCCCGTGAGATCTTTCCCCCCTGCTCCTCTTCGTCGGCAGCGGCGGCGATGCAAATCCTCCAGATCCCGAGCGGCGTCACACGGCGTACTGTCGCGTTGTCGTCACGCGTCGCCGATACCGTCGCATCTCCTCACCGCAAGATTCTCACGCACGGCCGTGAGAAAACGGGGTACACGCACGGGGGGAAGGGGTTCACGCGCAGAGAGATATGCGCGCGCGCTGGCCTTGCCGCCTGGCAACTATCATGCTCCAGCTCCAGCAGACTCCAGCTCCGCGCCACAGGCCACAGGCCACAGTATATCCGCGCTTCACGCACCGTTTGACGTATCGTGCGTACTGCGCGGCGCCGATCCGTTGCAACACTCGGATCGCCTTCCTTCCAGTTCTCCCGAATCTTCCGTTGTCGGATTGCCCTTTCGAGGCCGTTCCCACCAACGAATGACGTGCACGAGCGATCCCGACTCCCGAGCGATCCCGCGGCACCGACACCGATTCCCGGAATCCGGAATGATCGATTAACGAACGGACACAGACTTGACAGACTGACACGAACGGACCGTCGCTGCGAAATCCCACGGCGATGATGGCGTCATCTTTGTGGGGATACTGAGAAGACCGCCGACTCGCGACGGGACGATCGGTCCGTTTTACCCCGCGATTTTAACGTAAATTATTTTATTTACTAATGATATGTGAGCGAATTGTCGGTGATTCTCGAGAATTAGCGGAAATAAGTTGGCGCTGGAAGTTTATATTTTTTAAATAAACAATAGCTTAAACGATTGTTCCTTTAGAATCAAGAATTGCTCCCCTTTTAAAATTAATATTTTTTAAAATATTTACAAAAAACGTAAAATTTATAATTATCACTTAAAGATCGATAGGAGACCCAGGCAAACTCAGGTACACTCAGTTGCACTTTATGCACTAAGTGCACGTTAGACTGCACTTTATTTTATTCCGTATTTTATTTATTATAAATTTTTAAGAGCAAAAATGCAAAATCGGGCTCTGTAGCTAACTGCATTTATTATATAAAGAGTATATATAAAAACAATTCACGAATCTATGTAATTTATTTTATGAGAAATCTTGTTATTACGAATTACGGATTCGTAATAACAAGATTTCTCATAAAATAAAGTTACATAGATTCGTGAATTTTTTTTATATATACTCTTTATATAATAGTGCAGTCAGCTACAGAACCCGATTTTGCAATTTTGCTCTTAAAAATTTATAATAAGTATAAAATACGCAGCGAGTCGCAGCTAAGCCAATAACCCAACAGAGGTCTCCAGCACCGTGTTTCCTGTCGACCCTTAAAAACGTATTTTTAATAACTGTGCAACTAAATCCAGCATAAAATGATTGCTCCTTATTACTTTAATAATTTATTGCATTTTTATTAAAAAATTAATAAATTTATTATTTCATAAGTGACGACGCAGCTATGCTCTATTGGGATAATTGCTCCATTCGTATAATTAATTTTGTATGATACTTTATAGCATTTTTATTGAAAAATTAACAAACTAAAGGCCGGATGCATTTATGCGTTACTAAAAAGTTTGTACTCCAGCCTTTAATTTGTTAATTTTTCAATAAAAGCGCTAAAGTATCATACAAAATTAATTATACGAATGGAGCGATTGAATATATCCCAATAGAGAGCAAGCGAGGAACAATTATTAATTCTACCAAAAATCAATATTGGTTAAAGAATTAAACTTTTTGAAATATACATATAAGTTATAAGCAATATAGAGTTGTTATATTACGTTTGAATATATCCGCCGTTAGCTACCGAATGTATATAGTTGCAATAGGTAGCTGCGTCCGTCACTTAATTGTGAAATAAAAAATTAGTTAATTTTTTAATAAAAATGCAATAAATTATTAAAGTAATAATAATTAATGGAGCAATAGAAAGCAATCAAGGAGCAATCATTTTATGCTGGATTTAGTTGCACAAAGTTATTAAAAATAATGTTTTTGAGTGATAATTATAAATTTTACGTTTTTTGTAAATATTTTAAAAAATATTAATTTTAAAAGGGGAGCAATTTTTTATTCTAAAGGAGCAATCAAGGAGCAATCGTTTGAGCTATAGTTTATTAAAAAATATAAACTTCCAGCGCCAACTTATTTCCGGTCCGGGAATTTGGTCTATTATTTGTTTTATCCAGTGGGCGTTTACGCGTAAAATGTAATAATTTACATCTAGATGCCCAGACACCACATAAAACTAAAAGATGACGAAAAAATGTCTTTAATAGTCATCCTTTCGGTTAGGCGAAAAGATGTCTAAAAGATGACGAAAAGATATGTCTCTTTATAGTCGTCTTTTCGGTTAGACGAAAAAATGCATGTCTATGGCCGGTATTCACAGTCAGATCTTTATAGAGGAACAATGACTGAGACATTTCTTCGCCAGTATCAAAAAATAATAAAATATATTTGAGCGACCCAACTTGCCTTTATAATATCTCACAACGTTTCGGCCAACATCTGGCCCTTTTCAAGTGAGGAATATAACAATAATAATTATTGCCAGCACTCCACGCATATGGGGGGATCTCCCTTATCTCCGATTCTCGCTGATATGGTTATAGATGATCTCGAGACACATTGTCTGCAACTGTTGAGTTTTGCTGTACGGTTTTATCGTAGATATGTAGATGATATTTTTGCCGTGGTCCCGAAATCGGGGATTGATGAACTTTTAAGAACTTTTGACAACTATCACATAAGACTAAAATTTACTTATGAATTGGAAATTAACACACGGTTCATTGAATTTCCTTGATACCACAGTGTTTCGGGAAAGTAACTCTCTGTTGACGAATTGGTATCGTAAACCCACATTCTCCGGGCGTTATATCAATTATTTCTCTTACCATCCGTTCAAATACAAAGTGAATATTATACGGAATCTTGTGGACCGTGCCATCCTTTTGTCAGATACTCGTTTCCATGAAACAAATATTGCAACAGTAAGATACTAATTAATAATTGTTTTCCGAGGAATGTCGTCGGCAAATTTATTAATGTCAGACTTGGTGAATTGCGGAAACGCAATTGCGGAGACGACCCTGCCAGTGATATGACGACGGAGGATGGTGTGTCTCGGGACCTTGAAAATTTCGTAGCTATCCCGTATATTATAGAGGCCTTAGTGCGAATGTCAGCCGGACAATGAGCAGAGGTGTCAAATTCAAGACACTTAAATTCTTACTGTCCCAAAGAGATTAGATTGCATTATTAGGAAAGGCAAGGATAGACTACGGTATCTCAGACAGACTGAACTTGTGTATGTACAAGATTGATTGTGCTAACTGCAATTCTTGCTATATTGAGCAAACTAAAAGGCACCTAGAGACAAGATTAAAAGAACATCAAAGTGATATTAGGAAACATGTTAACAATCACTCCGTGGTCTCCAAACATCGTCTCACATATAAACATGATTTCACGTAGCGGCGCATAATCTGAGGATTTTATATAAAGAAAGCCATTATAAAAAAAGAGAGATTTCGGAGATGTTTTTCATTAAGGAGGTTGAAGCAGTTTGGTCAACTCTAGATTTTAGTTTGTAAAAAATATATATGATAGTATAGGACCGCATGTGTGAGAATTATTTTAGATTTATTGACCATCCAGAAGCTGAGATATTAATTTCCAAAAATGCGTCGTTTTACATGGGGTTATATGGAGAAAGCGTTGACGGCGATGATTGATCCCAATTTTCTTTAATATCTAGTCTATATATAAACGCTCAAAAAACGTGCCTACGCGTACAGTAAATTATAATGCGAACATTTAGAACACAAGAAAACACGTATTCACCATCTAATAACAAATATATTACAAGTTAAAGCAATCGAAATTAGACTGAAATAGCAGTTGATAGTTCGCGAGTAGGTAGATGTGGCAACGCAGCGTCGCCCGCGTTTTGGCTGTACCCGAATCCTGTCGGTATGTGCACATTTTTGTGGTTCTCTTCCGTGCTAGGTCCACGATTTTTTGATTCTCTTTGGAAATAAAACCAAAAAATCATGAATCTAACGGAAGAAAACCAAAAAATTGTGAACATAACATAAAAGAGAACACTAAAATCGTTGACATTACCACAAAATAGTAGACACAGCACGGAAGAGAACCAAAAACGTGCACATACCGACAGGATTTGGGTATAGCCAAAACGCGGGCACCTAACCTTATCCAGAATGACAGAAAATTCACCGGCATGTTTACGTTTAGCAACTGCCGTTACGTGGCTCAACAAGAGGCGAGTACTGCTACCAACCCCATAAAAGTGAAACGTTGCCAAGTTTCGATCGTATTTAATATAATCGACGGAAAGTTATTAAAAAATAGATAGCTTATATAATTGTCAAGGGATGAGCTACCAGTAAGAATCATTATTTCATTCTATCAACGGCAAAACATATATTCATGCCATTTTTATATTGAAATAATTAGCAATACGTACCACAAGTTTTCAAGTTGGCATATTGGCAAAAAAGTGTTTCGTTTTTAGCTAATTAAAATATAAAGATGCATAATATGATACTTTTACTATACGTTTTATGCAATAGCAGCGAATGGAGAATAAAATGATACCTAATACAGATTTTTTAATAACCTAATAAAAAACTTTTTTTCTAAACCGTCAATCGACTCAACTGGATCGCTTCAACAGCTCTGGGTAACTTAGCCGGTCAACTTCGACTTTATTAATTTTCATATTTTTT